ATGTGCAAAGAAAAGAAAAATCTGTATTCTTGCTTGCACATGATTAGATGATGGAAGTCAGCAGAGCTTCACTTCATTCACCAAGCTAAGAGAATATTCCCTTGCAAAGTGAACAGCCCTTTTTTCCTTTAGTAAATGAACCCCACAGTAAAATAATATTGTGTATTTAACCTTTGTTTGTTCCTTCAAATTCAATATTTCTTACCTGGAAATGTTGATTTATTTTAATTAACCAGGATAATATAGCAGTTACGCAATGTAGAATAAGAAAAGAGTCATTATTATCATAACAATTTTACACATGCATTAATAGCAAAAGAGAGGTCATCCATAGTTTAATTCCCTGCTTACAGTTCATACTTAATTATCAATCATGTTCTTCTCTACAAACATTGCTTGTATCCATCCTGTAGCTCCTAGTACTTGACAGGTTCTTGGCAAAGGAGTTTCTATTGTATCTTCATTGATTCAAATTCATGAGGAAACTGTGTTGTTAATTACTTAAATTCCAACTCCATATTAATATGATGGTATAGTAGCTCTCATCAAGCAGGGGTTTTGGTGGTGCACACAGGCATGGTAGTTTGATGCTCAGGATTGTACCAACCAAACTGATACAAGGCATAGAGGAGCTCAGCTATGAGGAAAGATTAGAGGAACTGAATTTATTCTCTCTTGAGAAGAGGAGATTAAGGGGGGATATGATCAACATGTAGAAATACATCAGTGGTTCATATAGTGAACTCAGTGTAGAGCTATTTACCCTGAGGTCATCACAGAGGACAAGGGGGCACTCTTTACGTCTGGGGGAAAATAAATTTAATGTCCAACACAGAAAGTTTTCTTCACAGTAAAAGCTGTGAAAATGTGGAATAGACTCCCTCAAGAGTTGGTTCTGGCCACCTCAGTGGATTGCTTTAAAAAAGGGCTGGATTCTTTCTTGGGTATATATAACTGGTCTCTCATATTTGGAAGGAAAATTGATCTAGGGAATATCCAATTGCCTCTCAGGGGATCAGGAAGGAATTTGTTCCCCTGCAGGAGCCAATTGAATCATGCTTTGCTGGGTTTTTGCTTTCCTCTGGATCAACTGTAGGTGTAGGATTATAACTTTTTTTTTTTTTTAATGGTTGAACTGGATGGACCTTTGTCTTTTTTCAAGTAGGCTAACTAGGTAACTATGTAACAGGGTACCATATCCCAGCATGTATCAAGAATACTAGAACTAAAGTGTAAATGGATATTTAAGCTACCCAAGGTTTAAACATATTTTTTTGTTTATTATATATATTTTTTTTATTGAAAATATCCCATAAAGACAACATAAATATTATTAAAAGATAATAGAAGAATCAACAAATCCTCCTCATAAGTGGATCCCCTTAAAGGATAAGTTCACATTTTTAGTAAAAAATAATAAGTGCACATTTTTTTCAGGTAAATAAATGTGCATTATTTTTGTCTGCAGGAGTTTGGAAAGCATTGTACCAGCAATCAGCAGATTGCTGGTGCCTTGCAGGTCTCCTGCAGATCTGTCAGTATATTTACTTTCCTGTATGGGATGTAAGAGCAAGCAGATATACTGACAGGAAGAATGAATGAATAACCAGAGCGCTTGAGGACTACAACCCAACAGCCACCAAGGCTGTCGGGACTTGCAGTCTCTCGATCACAAGTGACAGGGCCGAGCGGGCAGAGCGTTTTTTTTTTTTTTTTTTCACTGCCAAAAAGGGGGGAGAAGATTTCCTGCTAGCTGTCAAAGCGGGGCTCAAGGAGAAAGCAGGGGCCGGTCTGATTGTAACATGGTACATGTAATATTTTATGAAAGGTGATCTTATCTTCAAATCAATATTTGGTATCATCCATCTGGCAACAGAATGGAAACTGTTATGGGGATCCAATTTTCCTTAACATGCTTTGTGGATGAACCTGCTTGTTCAGGAGAGTAGGAGAAAAGTAATCTGTGCAAAAATAAAAGACATAATAATAAGAAATGCCAGAATATTACATAATCATTTATAATAATGCTTTTTCTTATACTTATTCAAAGTTTAGCAAGTGTTACTAACTAAAAACAAGGCTAAAATCACCCAAATTGACTAGGTCCACAATGTGGGCCTCCCTGGGGGTGAGTATGGGAGCCCCCTTACCAGTTAGCCTGCAAAACAACTGATTTGGTCCTATCTAACAGTTTGCTGTAAAAACAGAGTTTTGTTTGCACACTTTGCAATTACATGCATAAGCTGCAGTCCCAGGACTGTGGCTTACGCATGCATTTGTAAAGTGTGCAAACAAAACTCACTGTTTTTAATGCAAACTGCTAGAGAGGGATAAATTGGTTGTTTTGCAGGCTGACTGGTAAGTGTGCTGGAAAATCCTTTGTTTGTTTGTGATGTGCATTGCCCTTCCAGGTGCACCTTGCTGCTAAAGCTGGTTATAGGTTGGGACGATTGCCATTTTTTTTGTACAATGAGTATGGGAGCACATCAAAGGGACACGGGAGGAAAAATAAATTAAACGAGTTATAAACTGTTTTGGTCTATATGATAAATTAATCCCCTTCAAGGAATCAATACATCTCCACCTGATAGTGTCTTTTTTATCCATACCCGCCTAGGTGGGGTTGAGGGTGTGTGAGGCTCACAGAGCGTGGAATTTAGCAAATATCAATCATTGCACCTCCAGTTTACTAGTGCACTGGTTCTGTGGAAATCAAAATGACATTTTAATTGTAAAATCTAAAAGTAAATAAACAAAGAAAAATAGTGGTGTGTAATTGTAATAAGGACCGCTCAATATAGTGTGCTGCCTGCCCAGGTTTGCTGCATCTGGTTCATACAAGGCTCACACATATATCGGAGGTTTTTAGTGCCAAATATCAAGGCTGTATAATGACAGTATATACACAATCCCTAATGAGTAGTCAGAGTCTTCACCAAAATATGCCAGTGGTTCCAACAATTAGCTCAAGCAATGACAATCCTTTATCCAGGTGCCACCAGCATAGTTGTAGGGGGATGCTACTTTAGTTTCAGAGCCATTCAATATACTAGTCAATAAGCCTTTCTAAACCATAGAAAAGGGTATGTACACTATATTGTCAGAAGTATTGGGACGCCTGCCTTTACACGCACATGAACTTTAATGGCATCCCAGTCTTAGTCCATAGGGTTCAATATTGAGTTAGCCCACCCTTTGCAGCTATAACAGCTGCAAGTCTTCTGGAAGGCTGTCCTCAAAGTTTAGCAGTGTGTCTGTGGGAATGTTTAACCATTCTTCCAGAAGCGCATTTGTGAGGTCAGGCACTGATGTGGATGAGAAGGCCTGGCTCACAGTCTACGTTCTAACCCCGTTCTATAGGGTTGAGGTCTGGACTCTGTGCAGGCCAGTCAAGTTACTCCACCCCAAACTTGCTAATCCATGTTTTATGGACTTTTGTTCATTGTTGCGCAGCCATGTTAGAACGGGAAGGGGCCATCCCCAAACTGTTCCCACAAAGTTAGGAGCATGAAATTGTCCAAAATGTCTTGGTATACTGACAACTTAAAATTTTCCTTCACTGAAACTAAAAGGCTAAGCCCAACCTCTGAAAAACAACTCCACTCCATAATTCCCCCCTCCACCAAACTTTACACTTGGCACAATGCAGGCAGGCAAGTACCGTTACCATCCATCAGATTGCCAGACAGAGAATCATGATTCATCACTTCAGAGAACACATCTCCACTAGAGTCTAGTGATGGCGTGCTTTACACCACTGCATCCAACGCTTTGCATTGCACTTGGTGATGTAAGGCTTGGATGCTGCTGCTCGGCCATGGAAACCCATTCCATGCTCCCTATGCACTGTTGTTGTGCTAATTTGAAGGCCACACGAAGTTTGGAGGTCTTTAGCTATTGACTCTGCCACTTTGTGGCTGTTGTTCCCAGTTGCTTCCATGTTGTTCTAATACCACTAACAGTTGACCGTAGAATATTTAGTAGCAAGGAAATTTCACGGATGGACTTATTGCACAGGTGGCAATCTATCACAGTACCACACTTGAATTCACTGAGCTCCTGAGCGCAACCCAGTTTTTCACAAATGTTTGTTGAAGCAGTCTGCATACCTAGATGCTTGATTTTATACACCTGTAGCCGATGAATCCTGTGAATCCAATGATTTGGAGGGGTGTCCCAATACTTTTGGCAATATATATATGCGCTTCTGGAAGAATGGTTTAAACATTCCCATAGACACACTCCTAAACCTTCATTTATATACTTATCCCAAAGTTTAACTAATGCCTGATAAGCTTCAGCATAGAAAGATTTGTCAGTACACCTGAACTATCCTAGGACAGCCTGCTTCACTTCATTTTCATTGTGTTCACCGTTTCCATAGAAAGATTTGTCTCTTGTGCAGTTTCACAATAGGTTATGCATCGATTATCCAGGATCAGGCGTTCCATACACTGAATGTTCACAGGAATGACTGCTGTGAGCTGGGATCCATCACAGCCGGGATCATCACTGACAGACATACGGCCATCTTTGAAATGTTTACACCATTCAAATGTCTTTTTGCAGCTGAACGTCTCAGCACTTGAAGTCTTGAAGTCTTCTGTAGATATCCATGGGTTTTATGCCTTTGTTCACAAGAACGTTCATCTCCACACTCTGTTCGATGCACGCACTAACACTGTTGACTGTAATCTTGATTAACGGTCTCTGGACTGGCCCGTGACATGTGCGCCATCTATCAGTAATACGACACACTTGCCACTTACTACTGCATTTAGTACCACCTTGCTAGCATCCCTTTTTATACCTATAAAATTAAAAGTCCTGGTTTGACTTGCATGCCCCTCATGTATATATATATATATATATATATATATATATATATATATATACACACACTATATTGCCAAAAGTATTGGGCCAGCCCTCCAAATCATTGGATTCAGGTGTTCCAATGTCCTCCATGGTCACAGGTGTATAAAGTCAAGCACCTAGGCATGCAGACTGCTTCTACAAACATTTGTGAAAGAATGGGTCTCGGGAGCTCAGTAAATTCAAGCGTGGTACCGTGATAGGTTGCCACCTGTGCAATAAGCCCATAAGTGAAATTTCCTTGCTACTAAATATTCTACGGTCAACTGTTAGTAATATTATAGCAACATGGAAGCAACTGGGAACAACAGCAACTTAGCCACGAAGTGGTAGGCCACATAAAATGACAGAGCGGGGTCAGCGCATGCTGATACACACAGTACGCAGAAGTTGCCACCTGTTTGCAGAGTCAATAGCTAAAGACCTCCAAACTTTGTGTGGCCTTCAGATTAGCACAACAGTGTGTAGAGAACTTCATGGAATGGGTTTCCATGGTCGAGCAGCTGCATCCAAACCTTACATCACGAAGTGCAATGCAAAGCATCGGATATAGTGGTGTAAAGCACACCGCCACTGGACTGTAGAGCAGTGGAGACGTGTTCTCTGGAGTAATGAATCACGCTTCTCTGTCTGGTAATCCAATGAACATGTCTGGGTTTGGCAGTTGCCAGGAGAATGGTACTTGACTGACTGCATTGTGCCAGATGTAATGTTTAGTGGAGGGGGGATTATGGTGTGGGGTTGCTTTTCAGGGGTTGGGCTTGGCCCCTTAGTTCCAGTGAAGGGAGCTCTTAAGGCATCAGCATACCAAGACATTTTGGACAATTTCATACTCCCAACTTTGTGGGAGCAGATTGGGGATGGCCCCTTCCTGTTCCAACATGTGTGGGTAAAGGCAGGCATCCCAATAACTTTGGCAATAGTTTGTATATACAGTATATATATATATATGCACATTCACTAGCCTCTTTATTAGGTACACCTGTTCAATTGCTTGGTAACACACAATCTGCTAATCAACTAATCACATGGCAGCAACTCAAAGCATTTAGGCATCTAGACGTGGTGAAGATGACTTGCTGAAGTTCAAACTGAGCATCAGAATGGGGAACAAAAGAGGATTTAAGTGACTCTGAACATGGCATGGTTGTTAGTGCCAGATGGGTTGGTCTGAGAATTTAAACTGCTGTTCTATTGGGATTTGCATGCACAACCACCTCTGGGGTTTACAGAAAATTATCTGAAAAAGAGAAAATATCTAAATAGCGGCAGTTGTGTGGATAAAAATGCCTTGTTGATGACAGAGGTCAAAGGAGAATGGGCAGACTGGATTGAGATGATAGAGAGGCAACACAAATCAAAAACCAACTTGTTACAACCAAGGTATGCAGAATACCATCTTTAAATGCACAACACATCAAACCTTGAAGCAGATGGGCTACAGCAGCAGAAGACCTCACCGGGTGTCAATCCTGTCAGCTAAGAACAGGAAATGGAGGCTACAATTCACAAAGCTCACCAAAATTGGACAATAGAACATTGGAAAAAATGTTGCCTGGTCTGATGAGTCTCGATTTTACCTGCGACGTGCAAATGCTAGGGTCATAATTTGGCGTAAGCCACATGAAAGCATGGCTCCATCCTGCCTTGTATCAATAGTTCAGGCTGCTGCTGGTGGTGTAATAGTGTGGGCCAGGGCCAGGACAAGGGGTGGGCAGGAGGGACGGCTGCCCTGGCACAGTTGGAAATTTGGAAGGTTGTGCTAGAAGGGGTCATTTGGAGAGGGATATGTACTAGGAGGGTGGATTTGTGTTAGGAAGAGGGATTTGGGGGGGAGAGTTTGTGCTAGTAGGGATGATTGGGGGGATTTTTTTGGGGGGAGGACTGGTGTTAGGAGAGGGGATGGGGGGGGAATTGTGCTGGGAGAAGGGGTTTGGAGGAGGGGAAGGATATATGCTCAGAGGGAAATTTGAAGGGTAGAGGATTTGTGCTAGGAGGGGAGATTTGGGGAGGGGTCAGATCTGAGCTGGGAGGGTGGATTTGTACCGGAAGAGGGTACATTTGTTTGGGGGGGGGGGGAATTTTGACTTGCAAAGGGAATTTGTGCTTAGGGGGCAAGTGTGAAGATTAGTGCTTGAATTTTTTTTTTTGGGGGGAGGGGGGGGATTTTTGCTGACACACAATGCTCATACATTTGAGGAGGGGGGTGCTAGATGACCTTGTACCAGAACTGGTGCGGGGGATATTTTCTTGGCACACTTTGGGCCCCTTAGTACCAATTGAGCATTATTTAAATGCCACGGCCTACCTGAGTATTATTGCTGAACATGTCCATCCCTTTATGGGTGATTCACATCATGGATGTGCAGTCGACAAATCTGCAGCAGCTGCGTGATGCTATCATGTCAATATGGAGGAAGGTTTCCATCACCTTGTTGAATCTATGCCTTACAGAATTAAGGCAGTTCTGAAGGCAAAAGGGGGTCCAACCTGGTACTAGCAAGGTGTACCTAATAAAATGGCCAGTGAGTGTATATCTTTTTCTATGGAATATAAAGGCTTATTGGTCAGTATATTGAATGTATAGGTTTATGAATTTATGTTATTTAATTTCCATACACACTAACTAGGATCCCTCTATATCTGCATTAAAGACGGGCACAGGGATTAGGGATTGACCTGTCTTGTGCTAATTGCTGGAACCCTAGCATAACTTGGTAATGGCCCTTACTACTTAGTGGGAGATTATATGTATACTGTTGTTATACAGCTACGATATTTGATTTTGGGACACTCAGAAATATGTGTGGGGCTTGGGTAGAGCAAATCCAGAAAACTCAGGACACTATATTGATGGCTACAATTATACACCACTAGTTTTTTTTCTTTTTATTTTAGATTTTACAATTAAAATGTCATTTTGATATCCACAGAACCAGTGCACTGGTAAACTGGAAGAGCAATGATTGATTTTTGCTAAATTCCATGCTCTGTGAGCCTCACACACCCTCATCCACACCTAGGCGGGTAAGGATAAATAAGACACTATCAATCGAAGATGTATTGATTCCTTAAAGGGGATTAATTTACCATGTAGACTAAAACAGTTTATCATTCATTTGATTTATTTCCCCTTAAGTGTCACTTTGATGTGCTCTCATACCCACCCCTAGAAAGGCCCACACTGTGGACCTAGTCTGTTTGGGTGATTTTAGCCTTGTTTTTAGTGAGTAACACTTGGTAACCTTTGAATATGTGTAAGAAAAAGTATTATTTTAAATGTTTATGTAATATTCTGTCATTTCTGGTTATTAGGTCTTATTAAAATGTTTGCACACATTACTGTTCTCTGACCCTCCTGAAAAATTGGGTTCACTTGTGAAACATGTTGAGGAAAATTGGATCCCCATAGCAGTTTCCATTTCGACACCAGGACAGACGCATATGGACACCTCACATCCCCACTGATATAAGATGGTAACAAATACTGATTAAGGGGATCTACTTATGAGAAGGATTTGACGATTCTTTTATCATCTTTTAATAATATTTATGTTGTATTTACAGGATAAATGTGTAATCCTTGTGTACCACAAACATCCATTCACACTTTACTAATTTGCTTTGCTGCAGAGGTGAACCGTCTCTGATGCACGGTGCTCTATAGTTTCTGCACTGTGGTCTATGAGGTCAACCAGAATTCCTTGCAAACTCCAGGAAGCTGTGCTTCCTCCCCTGAGGATATTTTTGGTCAATAAAATCTCAAATTGGATTTTCAAGGTGACCTAACATTAAAATACAAATTAAAGTAAAATAATAAAACAGCCTGCAACAAACATGCTTGACACTGTGAACAAAATATGCATTTATTGTGTAAATGGCATGTTCATGCGGACATGCACAACATTATACACTATCTTTGTGATTTCAACCCTATGGCACAGTCCCTCTAATTTATGGGCACACACACAAGCATACAAAATTGCATTGGGTGAGGGATATGGAACATTACAATGGCTGGTTTTAATCAATGTGAACAACAATGAGGCCAAATAATTCTCCCCTAAAACAGGCTCAGTCATGAGCTATGGCTAGGGATGTGGAGAAGTCTTAAAAAATAAAAATGGTCCCCCAAACCATACCTGGCTGAGCCCAATCTTTTTTTCAGCACTTCCTTAATCTGTGTTTTACTAGCCTCCTGCAATCCTCATCATAGCAGAAGTGATATTGAGAAAGGAATGGGCAACTCTGTCATCCAATCAGGGTTTTCTGCATAGTCCAGTTTTGTGAATATAAGAAATGGATTTTGCCAGCTGGAAGAAAGAGCAGAAAGAGGACTTGACCAGTAAGCTGCCTTACCTTTACTATCCACCCATAGTCTCGATCAAGATGTATTACTTGGACCACAATGTGAAAAAGCAAATGCTCAGGACAACAAAACATTTTTTTTTCTGGTAAGATGGTTTACTCATACACTATGTATTTTCAGCTGAGTATTTAGTCGTTTACCTGCACTTACACTATAAAATTATGAAATGGCAATGTGAAGAGTGGAAATATAGCAGGTAAGGCCTATTTTAAATAAATGTCCCAAAAAAATCTTCAGTTCAGATTATTTTCACAACACAGAATCCTACGTTAATGGAAATTGCCATGGTACGTGGTAGAATGCACAGAAGCTTGGTGACCTGTACAAAGAATGTAATTGTTTCTTCTGCCAGCACATTTTGTAATGTCCCACAACATTATCTGACATTTGTGTATGATATATAGTAGTCTGGTTTCTTCCAGTTTAGGTAATTTTGTGTTGGCTTCACAACATCCTACTTTCCTCTTATGGTGAACTAATTCTCAGGTGGTCTTCTCTTATGGTGCACTCATTCTCACGTGGTCTTCTCCTATGGTGGATTCATTCTCTGGAATTTTTTATCACGTCCTTTCATCCACTCAGCAAGCTTTTAAATTTATAGAAAGATAGCCTAAAATTACTCGTTTTAGGCTATATATTGAAGCAATTCCAAAATGCAACTTATTATCCTTTACTTACTTTACCTTCCATTTTAATTTATTTGAATGTAGTGTAAACTATTCTTGTCTCCATCACTGTAATCAATTGCATTACATCTACTACCTAACAAACATCCTCTACCCTCCAGCCCCTCCGATGTTTACCTGTTTTTCAATGTACCCTCCCCCACTTCATGATGGAACATTCTGCTTTTCTGAATGAAAACAAGCATCCATGCTAAACTACAGATGCTGTCTGTTCCGTCACAGCCTTTCAGTGACTAGGCATTGTGAGATGTTCATGGACCAAGGAATATAAGAAAGCCAGCGGATATAAAATGCATATACTCACTCTTACTGACTGCAAACCCCGAGATGCCCTGTGTTGCTCAGGTCTGATTGGTGAAAATTGGTTATTGATTCATCCACAAATGAAATCATTGTAGGCTTTGAAATGGAGCTAGTTGGAGATGTGAGAACATCCTGTCCCTGGAAGTATGCCACTTAAAACAGCATGCTGCCTTTTGGTCTTGGGAACCCAGCAATCATAGTTATTGGTGCTTGGATTCTGGTGCCA